TTCTATAGTGTTGCTTTTGGATTCATGTTCATGTTTTAATTCTCGTTCTCCTAGATTATGCTTATGTTTTGATTCTGGTTTTTCCTGTGCCTTGTTTTATGGAACAGATTTCAACTGTTTGGAGTGTTTTTCCCTATTGCCAGTTTGGATTGGCTTATTACTCATGGGTGTTGCAACCCAGAGAAGGAAATGAGGCCCTAAGATAACCCTCCACCACACTTGACTGGGAAAAAACAATCCTTTTTATTGATGAAAAATGGTTACAAAATAAAGGAAAAATGCAAATCAAAAGCCACAGCAAAATCAGCAAACATGAATGTCCATGAACAAGATCAAAAACCCAAAACCACACTGTAAAATGCTGGAACCTGTTAGCAATCCACTAACCGTACTTGGTGTCCTAGAAATCTCTCAAGACGATGGCCAGAGGAACCGGAGAACTGCCAAGGTCTTCATCAATCTAAAACAATGCCTGAACTGAGAAAGTCAGCCCGGCAGAAGGCACTTAAAGCCGAGGAATTGGTTTCGTGAACCGCCTCCCTGCTTTGAAGCCCTTGTTTGTATTTCTTTTAATCTGGAAGACCTTCGCAAGCTGAGTGATTTACTCCTGTCTTGCCAGATCTGGCCCCTTCTATTCTCATTAAGGTTCCCAGGTGCAGAAGGGAGTGAAAGGTCATGGCTTCCCTCTGAAACATTCTCATGAACACTGGTACTTTCATTTTCCAAATCTACAGAAGTTTCTTCCTCACTAATTTCAGGAGCATTGACATCAAGAAGTACATTTTCATTAGCATCAGGAAGTACATTTTCATTAGCATCAGTAAATATATTTTCATTAGCATCAGGAGGTACAAACAGAGAATCAGGTTCAAACTCAGGCTGAACCCCAACAGGAATCTCGTAAGTGCTGACTTCTACCTCCCCTCTGATTTCGGATTGTTTTTGGACGACGACATCGCATTTTTCACTTAACCATCTTCTTCTGGACGTGCTTTGACTTTGGACTGTTTTTTGACGACCATTTTGCTTGCTTCCACCTTGTTTCCTTGTGTTTATTGGACTCTGTGTTTTTGAAGCAATTTGCTTGAACTTTTTGTTATCCCGGAATAAAATTCCAGTATAATCCGGATTATCTGCTAAATTACATTTTTTGCACAGCAATTTGCTACAGACTTTAAGTTCTTGCTAGATACACTGAATTAAGTGTTTCTAGCTATTTTTGTTGTGTTAATAAACTTTGTTTGGACCTTTATTTTTGTGTCTGGCTCCTTTAAGGCATCTGGTTCATGACAGTTTATGTTTTCAGATTTTGTTACATGAAGTTATTCCATTGCATATTCTTTTTTTCTAGTTTATTTATTTATTTATTTATTTTAAATTTTTTATTGTTTTATAGTGTAAGTAGAAAACAAAACAGATGAACAAGAGAAAAAAAATAAAAAATAAAAAATATGTTACATCCCGATTGGATTACTGCAACGCACTCTACATGGGATTGCCTTTGAAGACTGTTCGGAAACTCCAACTAGTCCAGCGGGAGGCAGCCAGAGTACTAACAGGAGCGTCATACAGGGAGCATACCACCCCCCTGTTGTGTCAGCTCCACTGGCTGCCAATCCAATTCCGAGCACAATTCAAAGTGCTGGTTTTGACCTACAAAACCCTATATGGTTCCGGCCCAGTGTATCTGTCCGAACAGATCTCCCTCTACGTCCCACCTTGGAATTTAAGATCTTCTTGGGAGGCCCTGCTCTCGGCCCCGCCTCTATCACAAGTGAGATTGGCAGGGACGAGGAGCGGGGCCTTCTCGGTGGTGGCCCCTCACCTGTGGAACTCACTCCCGGGGGAAATTAGATCAGCGACATCCCTCCTTTCCTTCAGGAAAAAGTTGAAAATGTGGATTTGGGATCAGGCATTCGGACAACCTGGCAGATGAAAAAGGACGTGGCGATAGAATGGAATTGACATACGGAATGGAATTAAGGAACTCTGGACAACGCACGCTGAGTTTGTGATTAGTTTTTAATGATTGTGTTATTGTTAACTGTTTAATTGTGATAAATGCTGATTGTTGTTTTATATGTATATGTACTCTATGTAGGCATTGAATAGTGCCTTTTTTGTAAGCCGCCCTGAGTCCCCCCTTGGGGGTTGAGAAGGGCGGGGTAAAAGTAACTGTAATAAATAAAATAAATAAATAAGATTTACAAAAGAGTGAATATTAAGTGTTCATTATGTCACCTCTCACTCTACTGCATATCAATTAAAAGCAAGTTTTTACTTTTTTACATATATATCTGCCAAACCAATCCATGGTGGTTACCTGAGATATTTGCACTTGGGCTATGGCAGCTCTGCTGGATTTTGTATTTCGAAGGGGAAGGAAAAGAGCAGTCACCAAATGCTGAGAAGGATCCTGAACCACATTTCATCTCGAGGCTGGGGATATCGGCATAATTGGTCGATACGGGAACATACAGCTTTTTATTCCGCGACAAGGGGCTTAACCTTCCATCGCCTGCGAGATGACAGAAAAATAAGAATTATGAGCATGCAGCATTTATATATACCTATATATACTCAAATACAGTATAAGCCAACCTGAATATAAGCCGAGGCACTTAATTTTACCACAAAAAACTCGAATATAAGCCGAGGGTGGGAAATGCAGCAGCTACTGGTCAATTTCAAAATAAAAATAGATACCAATAAATTACACTGAGGCATCAATAGGTTAAATGTACTAAGTTGAAATTCATAGAATCAAAGAGTTGGAAGAGACCTCATGGGCCATCCAGTCCAACCCCATTCTGCCAAGAAGCAGGAATATTGCATTCAACACCCCTGACAGATGGCCATCCAGCCTCTGTTTAAAAGCTTCCAAAGAAGGAGCCTCCACCACACTCCGGGGCAGAGAGTTCCACTGCTGAACGGCTCTCACAGGAAGTTCTTCCTCATGTTCAGATGGAATCTCCTCTCTTGTAGTTTGAAGCCATTGTTCCGCATCCTAGTCTCCAAGGAAGCAGAAAACAAGCTTGCTCCCTCCTCCCTGTGGCTTCCACTCACATATTTATACATGGCTAGCATATCTCCTCTCAGCCTTCTCTTCTTCAGGCTAAACATGCCCAGCTCCTTAAGCCGTTCCTCATAGGACTTGTTCTCCAGACCCTTGATCATTTTAGTTGCCCTCCTCTGGACACATTCCAGCTTGTCAATATCTCCTTCAATTGTGAGCCCAGAATTGGACACAATATTCCAGGTGTGGTCGAACCAAGGCAGAATAGAGGGTTGAGCATGACTTCCATAGATCTAGACACTAGACTCCTATTGATGCAGGTCAGAATCCCATTGGTGTTTTTTTTTTTTGCTGCCACATCACATTGTTGGCTCATGTTTAACTTCGTGTCCACAAGACTCCAAGATCTTTTTCACACGTACTGCTCTCGAGCCAGGCATCCCCCTTTCTGTATCTTTGCATTTCGTTTTTCCTGCCAAAGTGGAGTATCTTGCATTTGTCACTGTTGAACTTCATTTTGTTAGTTTTGGCCCATCTCTCTAATCTGTCAAGAGTGTTTTGAATCCTGCTCCTGTCCTCTGGAGTATTGGCTATCCCTCCCAGTTTGGTGTCATCTGCAAACTTGATGATCCTGCCTTCTAACCCTTCATCTAAGTCATTAATAAAGATGTTGAACAGGACCGGGCCCAGGACGGAACCCTGCGGCACTCCACTCGTCACTTCTTTCCAGGATGAAGAGGAAGCCTTGGGGAGAATCACCCTCTGGGTTCGTCCATTTAACCAATTCCAGATCCACCTCACTGTAGTTTTGCCTAGCCCACATTGGACTAGTTTCCTTGGTTGTATGGTTGTGTGTCATAAAGAGAGAAGGACATGCAAGGGGATTGCTGTGGTCGCTTTTTCACAGGATAAATTGGTTTGGTTTAAACTTTTAAAAAATCTCCCAAAATCTGTAGATGTGTGAATCTTTCTGAAACTTCCAGAGATTGATGCCCTGGTTGTCTTGTGCATCTATATAAATAAAAATTTAATGTTCGTTTGTGGGATTAACATAATTAAAACACCACTGGACGAATTGACACCAAATTTGGACAGCACACACCTAACAACCCAATGTATGTCCTTCACTCAAAAAAATTGATTTTGTCATTTGGGAGTTGTAGTTGCTGGGATTTATAGTCCACCTACAATCAAAGCACATTCTCAATTCCACCAATGATGGAATTGAACCCAATGTAGCACACAGGACTCCCATAAACAACAAAAAACACTAGAATGGTTTGGTGGATATTAGTCTTGAGTTTGGGAGTTGTAGTTCACCTACATCCAGAGAGCACTGTGGACAGAAACAATGATGGGTCTGGACCAAACTTGGCACAAATATTCCATATGCCCAAATATGAACAGAGATGGAGTTTGGGGAAAATAGACCTTGACATTTGGGAGTTGTAGTTGCTGGGGTTTATAGTTCACCTACAATCAAAGAGCATTCTGAACCCCACCAACAATGGAATTGAACCAAACTTGGCACACAGAACTTCGATGATCAACATAAAATACTGGGAGGGTTTGGTGGGCATTGACCTTGAGTTTTGGAGTTGTAGTTCACCTACATCCAGACAGCACTGTGGACTCAAAAGAATGATGGATCGGGACCAAACTTGGCATGAAAATCAATATGCCCAAATGTGAGCTCTGGTGGAGTTTTGGGAAAATACATGACATTTGGGAGTTGTAGTTGCTGGGATTTATAGTTCACCTACAATCAAAGAACCTTCTGAACCCCACCAACGGTAGAATTGGGCCAAGCTTCCCACAAAGAACCCCCATGACCAATGGAAAATACTGTGTTCTCTGATGGTCCTTGGTGACCCATCTGACACCCCCTCACAATCCCTCCAGAGGTCCTGACACCCAGGTTGAGAAACACTGATCTAGATCCTTCAGCATGAACAGCGGAAGTGGATCATAGAATCACATCTGAGATTTCGAGAGAGAACATTTATAATCAAATCAATGGATAAATGTGTTGTGCCCCACGGCGAGGGGAGAGGTGGGTAATAAATAACCATCATCATCATCATCATCTCCACAAATGTGAAGGAACAACTGTAGAGAATTTATTTTTCCTTCATCTGTCTCCAGATATCTTATTTATTTATTTCAGAAATGGTACAACTGCATCACACAAAAATTATGCCAGCACACCCATTTACATCTCAGTTAAAATGCAAAATATTCAGAAGAGGGTTCTGTATTTTGATATTACCTAGTTTCCCTGCATAGTTCTTCTCGTGATCATGCTGCAAGAACCTGTTGTGAAGATATGGTTGCTCTTTGTTTAGCCTAAACTCAAGCTGCAACAGAAAACATAGCAACAGAAATCATTATTATATTGCAGTGCAAGCAGGTGATTCAAAAGGCATGGGCTTACACAACTGCAACGGGAGATACAATGGAATTTGGGGAGACGAGCAAGAGACTGAGGCTGTTCACTACATACAAAACATACTGTCTACATCAGGGGTCCTCAAATTAAACCCTGGGGGCCAGATATGGCCCTTTAAGATCTTTTACCCAGCCCTCGCTCAGGGTAAACCTAAATGTGAAAAGACTTGAAAGCACACAACAACAACAACAACCACAACAACAACAACCCTATCTCATCAGTCAAAAGCAGGCCCACGTTTCCCATTTAAATAAGTTTATATTTGTTAAAATTGTTATTTATTTTAATTATTGTATTATTTTAAGTGTTTTTTGCTCTACAAATAAGGTATGTGCAGTGTGCATAGGAATTCATTTATGTTTTCTTCAAATTATAATCTGGCCCTCCAACAGCTTGAGGGACTGTGACCTGGCCATCTGTTTACAAAGTTTGTGGACTTCTAGTCTACATCCACTGTTGTGCTATTCATATTATTATTGGTAGTAGTATTCTTTTATATCACAAAGCCACTTAATGTCACTAACAAATGAAAATAAATACAAGATAGCAAAAGCATAGAAAGATCGACAAGATGTACAGTAAATACAAATAACATGTTGCATAGATAGCACTGTAAAAGCAAAATACCATCAACATAGAACATAAATATATCACAAGCATCCAGTCTGCAGTGTTTCAACTCAGTTCTTGGGGGTTTTTTCGGGCTATATGGCCATGTTCTAGAGGCATTTCTCCTGACGTTTCGCCTGCATCTATGGCAAGCATCCTCAGAGGTGAGATCTGCTGGAAAGTGGGGACGGGAGCTGCGTTCTTTTGTTCTGAGACTGTAGGTTTCCCTTTTCCACTCCTTCCTTGCTTTCTTTGGCCGACAGCCGGGGCTCTCTTCAGACCCTCTTCAGACCCTCATTGATTTATCAAGCAAAGCCAGGAAAAAAGGCCAGTGGAATCCTGTCTCCAGTGAGGTTTGCCGAAGATGGTAGAATATCATGGAAAGGCCTTTTTGTTGCATGCAAACGTTTGACCTTCTTCAGGAGATCATCCAAGAGCTTCAGGGAACTGGAGATTCCCCGGCTGTCGGCCAAAGAAAGCAAGGAAGGAGTGGAAAAGGAAAACCTACAGTCTCAGAACAAAAGAACGCAGCTCCCGTCCCCACTTTCCAGCAGATCTCACCTCTGAGGATGCTTGCCATAGATGCAGGCGAAACGTCAGGAGAAATGCCTCTAGAACATGGCCATATAGCCCGAAAAAACCCACAAGAACTGAGTGATTCCTGCCATGAAAGCCTTCGACAATACAGTGTTTCAACTCTTTGCATGTTTTGATAATAAAGAAAATCGTGTCTCACCGGCTTTGTCCTTTCGGCTGACGATGCGTTTTGGAGAACCAGCTGCAATCCATAATTGTTAGCCTGCAAACGGAATATTCGTTATTAGTAACTTTCAGGAACACAAAATTTGAAAGCAAAAGGTAAACAACACTGTATCTGGATGGGATGGGGCTGATGATACAAAGGTTACAAAGCAAAGATACCCAATTGTTGCAATTCTGAGATCTGAGAAACTTTTCACACCATCAAAATGTAGCAACTGTGGGAAATACAGCTCATAAATTACAGGACATACAGGACCAAGCCTAGAATCAAACAGAGGCTTTACAGATGTAATGCTAGATCCATTTATTAAATAATGTGCCTATTATTATTATTATTATTATTAACTTCATTTCTACCCCCACCTTTCTCAACCCCAGAGGGGACTCAAGGGGCTTACAAATCTGGCAAAAATTTAATGCCACATAGATTTTTTTTTTGTCATGTCAGGAGCGACTTGAGAAACTGCAAGTTGCTTCTGGTGTGAGAGAAATGGCCGTCTGCAAGGACGTTGCCCAGGGGACGCCATGATTTGATGTTTTATCATCCTTGTGGGAGGCTTCTCTCATGTCCCCGCATGAGGAGCTGGAGCTGGCAGAGGGAGCTCATCCGCCTCTCCCCGGATTCGAACCTGCGACCTGTCGGTCTTCAGTCCTGCCGACACAGGGGTTTAACCCACTGCGCCACTGGGGGCACCTATCAATGCAAGTTATACATACATACATACATACATATATATATATATATATATATATATATATATATATAATATTATATATATATATATATATATATATATTATTTAAACTTTTTTTTTTTTTGGTTTTAAATTTTTTATTGATTTTTCCAATAACAATATACAAAACGGTGAGAAGAAAGAAAAAAGAATAAGAAAAGAAAGAAAAAAGAAAAAAAAAGAGAACAATAGCAAATATTCAATCGATATCCCTCCACCCCCCATCGAGTCCTGTGAGTGACTTCCCAATAAACTCCTTGGGTTATGTTGGAGGGAGGGGATCCTCCCCTTTGCACTTCCCTTTACAGAAAGAGAAAGAAAAACCAAAAGTAGTAATGTTTATATCGTATATCCGACTAATCTTCTTTGATCACTATAGTCTCTATATATTGGATAATTCAATTTGTAGAGGGATATTCCTTTTTTTTAAATAGTCCTTGAACCCCATCCAGTCCATTTCTTTTTTTATTCCTTTCATTCTTCGAGACAGTTCTTCCATTTGAAGTATATCAAACAACTTTAGAGTCCACTCTTCCATGGTCGGAATTTCTTTTGACTTCCATACTTTCGCCAAAAGAATCCTTGCAGCCGTGCTTAGTAAGAATAAAATCTTGTCTTGATTTTTAGTTAGTTTATGTCGTGTTATGCCAAGTAGGTAGGATTCTGGTGCTATGGGAAATTGGATTTTAAGAATTTTTTGGGTGGCTTGATGAATTTTATTCCAATATTTTTTAATTTTTTTACATGACCACCAAAGGTGGAAGAATGTACCCTGCTCTTTGCCACATTTCCAACAGCTATTTGATTGGTTTTTATTGAATTTTGCTAATTTGACTGGTGTATAATACCACCGGTAGTACATTTTATACCAATTCTCCCTTAACTCATTTGCAATTGTATATTTAATTTTATTATTCCAAATCTCTTCCCACTCTTTTAACATTATCGTACGTTTTATATCTTTGGCCCATCTAATTTGGCATTCCTTTACTTGTTCCTCCTCTGTGTGCCAGCACAGTAATTGCTGGTATAATATCTTAATTAATTTATTGTTTTTCCCAATTACTTTATCCCAGATACATTTATCCTGCATAAAACCTGTTTTCTCATCCTCCTTGAATCCCGCTAATAATTGATAGTATTGGAGCCAAGTTAATTTAGGGGCTGTTTGCCTTACTTCTTCCAATGTTTTTAATTCATATTTTCCTTCCAGTGTTTTGTTTAATAGTTGATTGTAGGTAAGCCATTTTTCTTCTCCCAATTCCCTCCTGTGTTTCGCTTCCATTGGCGAAATCCATAGTGGTACCTTTCTATATAGTCTCATTTTGTATCTTTCCCATGTTTTTATCAGGGCCGCCCTGACGTAGTGATTGTTGAAGTTCTTTTCAATTTTTCTTTTGTCATACCACAAATAGCCATGCCATCCAAATCTTAGGTCATGGCCTTCTAAGTTCAGTAATTTTGTATTTTTTAGTATCGCCCAATCCTTGATTCCCACCAAATTACAAGCCTCATAATATATTTTAAAATTTGGTAATCCTAAGCCTCCTCTTTTCCTTTCATCTGACAAAATTTTGATATTGACCTTCGATTTCTTGTCTTTCCAAATGAATTTAATAATGTCTGTATTCCATTTCTTAAAAAGATGGTCATTTCTGATGATTGGCAGTGTTTGAAAAAGAAATAGTAATTGTGGTAGGATTTTCATTTTGATTATAGCGATTCTGCCTAAGAGTGAGAATTCTTGGTATTTCCATTTTTCTAAGTCTTTTTTTATTTTCCTCCATAGGGTTTCATAATTATTCTTTATTAATTTTGCATTGTTTTGTGTAATGTAAACTCCTAGGTATCTTACCTTTTTCTCTATCTTCATCCCTGTAATCATTTGTAGATTATCTTTTGCTTTTTTATCCATATTTTTTGTTAAAAGTTTCGATTTTTGTTTATTTAATTTAAAGCCCGCTAAACTGCCAAAAACATCTATTTTTTCTAACCAAAATTTTATATTTTCTACTGGGTTTTCTATTATACATACCATATCGTCTGCATAGACTCTTGTTTTATATTGGTGTTTCAAGATTTTCATTCCCTTTAAGTTGTTGTCTTTGTTTATGTTCCTAATTAGAATATCCATTATCATAATAAAGAGGAGGGGGGATAAGGGACACCCTTGGCGGGTCCCTTGTGTGATTTGGATTGGCTGACTGACTTCTTCACCATTTAATATTAAATTCGCTTCCTGAGTGGTGTATATCGCCTCAATGGCGTTTCTAAACTGATATCCCATATCTAATTCCCCTAGTAGTAATTTTAGAAAATTCCAATTGACCCTATCAAAAGCCTTCTCGGCATCTATGAAAAAGAGTGCCATCTGCTTCTCGTTGTGTGCTTCATAATATTCTATGGTGTCTAACAGAATTCTCGTGTTAT